GGTGGAATCTTCTTTCTTGTAGTTTGGATCCATTGCTCCGTGTCCGCTTCTCTGGAGCAGCAGAAAACAACCTTTCTCCCTCCTCTATGTGACATCCTTTTATATATTTGAACATGGCTATCATATCACCCCTTAACCTCCTCTTCTCCAGGCTAAACATGCCCAGCTCCCTTAGCCGTTCCTCATAAGGCATCGTTTCCAGGCCTTTGACCATTTTGGTTGCCCTCCTCTGGACACGTTCCAGTTTGTCAGTGTCCTTCTTGAACTGTGGTGCCCAGAACTGGACGCAGTACTCCAGGTGAGGTCTGACCAGAGCAGAATACAGTGGCACTATTACTTCCCTTGATCTAGATGCTATACTCCTATTGATGCAGCCCAGAATTGCATTGGCTTTTTAGCTGCCGCGTCACACTGTTGGCTCATGTCAAGTTTGTGGTCAACCAAGACTCCTGGATCCTTTTCACATGTACTGCTCTCAAGCCAGGTGTCCCCCATCTTGTATTTGTGCCTCTCATTTTTTTGCCCAAGTGCAATACTTTACATTTCTCCCTGTTAAAATTCATCTTGTTTGTTTTGGCCCAGTTCTCTAATCTGTCAAGGTCGTTTTGAAGTGTGATCCTGTCCTCTGGGGTGTTAGCCACCCCTCCCAGTTTGGTGTCATCTGCAAATTTGATCAGGATGCCCTTGAGTCCATCATCCAAGTCGTTGATAAAGAAAGCTGTAGAAAGCTGGTATTTGCAAGAATCCTGGCAAGAAGCTCTAATAACATTAATTCCCAAACAAGGGACAGAATTGACAGAAACCAAAAACTATAGACCAATTTCATTGTTGAACATTGATTATAAGTTATTCACGGAGGTATTGGCAGACAGATTAAAGAAAATTTTGAATAGAATTATAAATGAGGACCAAGCGGGATTATTGCCTGGAAGACAAATGCAAAACAACATGAGAACAGTAATTGACATCCTGGAGTATTTAGATATGAGACCCGATAAGAAAGCTGCGCTAATATACCATATTTTTTGCTCTATAAGACTCACTTTTTCCCTCCTAAAAAGTAAGGAGAAATGTGTGTGCGTCTTATGGGGTGAATGCAGGCTGCACAGCTATCCCAGAAGCCAGAACAGCAAGAGGGATTGCTGCTTTCTCTGCGCAGCTGCTTTTCTCTGCGCAGCGTCTTACAGAGCGAAAAATACGGTAAGTTGACGCGGAAAAAGCATTTGATAATGTTTCTGGGAAATTTATGGGAAAAAAACAATACAATTTTTGGATTTAGGAGAAACATTTGGACGTGGGATAAAAGCAATATATAGAAATCAAAATGCCAAATTGATAATCAGCAATGACCTATCAGAGACTTTTACAATTTCAAAAGGCACTAGACAAGGATACTCCTTGTCACCCCTATTATTTATCATAGTTTTGGAGACATTAACAACTGCCATAAGATCTGATCCCGGAATAAAAGGGATCACATTGTAAAGCAGAGCATACAAATTAAAGGCCTTTGCAGATGACCTAATTATAACAACAGAAAACCCCATAGAAAGTACATTGAAAACAGGCAGAATCCGAGACCAGGGAGAAGAGTCGGTGAAAGAAGACTGGAAGAAATTTAAAGACTATTTACAGAAATATTGCAAAATTAAGGAATTTTAGAAGGATGTTGGATAGACACTAAGAGGTTTTTAGCTGTAATGCTTTAAGAGATATGAAAAAAAAAAAGGTTAACAATTGGGTAAAAGTTTAATGGTAAGGATTTGCTGATCTAACAAACTGAACTGGAATACAAAGAAGGGAGGTATGAGGAAGTTCGGGGAAATAAGTGTAAGGAAGATAGGCTATGGAAAATTAATGTGTTTTTAACTCTTTTATTTTGTATGTTTCTCTTTATTTTTTTTACTTTTTTGTTGTATCTTAAAAACTTTATACTTTTTTCTTTATTCTGTATTTTCATGTATTTTTTGAAACTTTAATAAATATTATTAAAAAAAAAAAAAGTACATTGAAAACAATGGAAAGAATGCACGAATTTGGCCAGTTATCCGATTTGAATTAAATAAAAAATAAAAAAAGGTTAGTGAAAAATTTGGAAGATCGGAAAAACAGGAGTTACAGTGGTACCTCGGGTTACATACGCTTCAGGTTACATACGCTTCAGGTTACATACGCTTCAGGTTACAGACTCCGCTAACCCAGAAATATTACCTCGGGTTAAGAAATTTGCTTCAGGGTGAGAACAGAAATCATGCTCCGGCGGCACGGCGGCAGCGGGAGGCCCCATTAGCTAAAGTGGTGCTTCAGGTTAAGAACAGTTTTAGGTTAAGAACGGACATCCGGAACAAATTAAGTACTTCACCCGAAGTACAACTGTACAAAATAAGACGGGTCTATTGATAACAAAAAAAAATCAAGTATCTGGGAATTTCGATCTCTGCCCAAAACAAAAATTTATTTGTTGATAATTACAGGAAAGTATGGAGGGAGATTAACAGAGACCTAAAAATTTGGGGGGGAGTAATTCTATCACTGTGGGGCAGAATTTCGACTAGCAAGATGTCCATGTCACCAAAAATGTTATTCCTATTACAAATGATACCAATAGTAAGTGGGACAAGCTGTTTCAAAGAGTGGCGGAAAGAATTAGCAAAGTTTATACGGCACGGCAAAAACCCCAGAATTAAGTACAAATTACTGACCGAGATAAAGGATAGAGGGGGCTTCGCTTTGCCAGACCTTAAACTATATTACAAGGCAGCTTGTCTTTGCTGGATAAAGGATTGGATGACTTTGGAAAACACAAGCATATTGGATATAGAGGAGAAGGATAACAGATTTGGCTGGCACAGGTATCTGGGTTACAACAAAGTGAAGGTGCATAGAGGCTTCCTTTTTTCTTTTTTTGAATGTTCATGAGGGCTTTTTCTTTCCTTTTTTCTTTTTAAATTTTTTTATTCAAAGTTATAACAAAACATATTTTCCAGAAACATATCCTTATGTCCCCCCATTTTTCTTCCCCCCCATAAAACCCATCCCCCCACCCCCCGACTTCCCTCAGTTCCAGTCTTTGATTTCTCCAATAATGCTGTTTTCTGCATGTTACAGAGTTGTATAGATCCTCCAACTGCTTAGCTAATTATTATCAGTAAAAAAATTGTGAATGTTTATTCAAAACCTGCCAAGGAGTCCAGTTCGCTTTGTTGCGTCTTCAAATACTTTGTGAAAGGTTCCCATTCATCCTTAAAGTCACAGTTATCCTTATCCCGAATAGAGGCTTCCTTAACCACATAATTGGAAAATCTTTATACACAGTCTGGGGAAAACACAAAAAGTTATTAGAACCAAAGACACCATGGTAGCTATCACCCCGGAAGCCTTCGCGGTAAAAAAGAAAAACATGACTAGCAATTGGGCGACATATAAAGATATACTGGAGGAAGAAAATAACTAATTAAAAATTAAAAGTTTTGATGAACTTAAAAAAATTAGGTTTGGATTGGCTATAATATTACCAATTAAAGGAGGTCTTTAAATAAAAAAACAACAACACAGATTTGAAAAACAGATATCTATATTAGAGAAAGAATTATTATCAAACAACAGGAAAATATTATCGAAAACTTACAGATTATTATTAGATTGGGAACTCCAAGATGAAGAAGTGAAAGATGTTATGGTTAAATGGGCACAAGATTTCGGATTTCCTATCTTACTGAAAGACTGGGAAAATTGTGGAAAACAGACCTAAAATTCACAGCGTGTTATTTGATAAAGGAAAACTTTATGAAAATGATTTACAGGTGGTACTTGACCCCATCTAAATTGGCTAAAATATCTAAAAATAATAACAGCACATGTTGGAGGTGTAAGCAGGGGGAAGGAACACTATTTCGCATGTGGTGGACCTGTCCCAAAATTTAAAAAAATCTGGGACATGGTCTATGAAGAACCAAAGAAAATGCTCAGAGAAACATCTAATAAAAGTCCAGAGGCTTTTTTACTGGGCATTATGACAATAAACATCCCTAGAATAAAGAAAAGTGTATTTCTTTATGCAACAACCGTGACTCAAGTATTAATTGCCAAGTATTGGAAAGGAGACCAGATCCCAATTAAGGTAGTGTGGCAAAAGAAATTATGCGAATATGTTGAACTAACCAAAATGACAGAAGCAATAAGAAATCACCCGAGTTCAAGGGTGAAAAATGAATAGGATTGTTTTAAAAATTACTTTAGTAAACATGGTTCCCAAATGCAAACTTGGATGTGCCTAACTCACAAAATAAAAGTTAATTGGAGGAGATATCCTATACAAAGAAAAGGTTGAAGGTACTGGATACTGGAACACAGTACAAAGAAATGGAAATAAAGAGAGAAGATGAGCTGTTAAGAGGTAGAGGGAAGTTAAGCATTATAGAGAAATAGATGAATTTTATAGAAAGAAAAACAGATTGTGTATGTAACTGTAAAGAAAGAAGACGCTGTTATCTGTAAAAAAAATGCAATAAAAATATTTTTTAAAAAAGAAAGCTGGTATCTGCAATATCAAGCTCAAAATAATAGGGATTTCCATCCCTTCCTTCTCTCCTTCTCTTTCTCTTTCTCTCTCTCTCTTCACACACAGGCACACTTTGCGATATAATTGCTGAAACGTGCAGAGTAAACAAACTCCACTGAAAACTGTTGACCCAGAGAGCAGCTGCTGTTAAAAAAAGAAGCTAATTCAGATCTGGGGATCATTAGGAAAGGGATAAAAAAAAATTAAACACTCCATCATGATGCCTTTTTTATACAGATCTATGATGTGGCCCTAGCAGTTCGAAAGCACCGCTCTGGCGGGAAGGTAAATGGCGTTTCCGTGCACTGCTCTGGTTCACCAGAAGCAGCTTAGTCATGCTGGCCACATGACCCGGAAGCTGTACGCCGGCTCCCTCGGCCAATAAAGCGAGATGAGCGCTGCAACCCCAGAGTCGGCCACGACCAGAACTAAAGGTCAGGGGTCTCTTTACCTTTACCTTATGATGTGGCCATGCTTGGAAGACTGTACAGCTCAGGACACCACAAAAGATGGAGAAAGTGAAAAACGACAACCAAAATGGTCAAGCAGCTGATCCATTATAGACAAAAAGGTACCAATTGGGCTTTTAAAGTTTCATAACAGCGGTTGGGAATCTTTTTGACACAGTGGGCCACATCTTTATTTACCCCACCCTCCTTGGATCAGCTCTGGCATTATAACCATCTGACTTACCAAACCGGCCCAGGAAAGTTAAGTGAGTTTCTGCCTAAATGGGACTGAGCTTCCCCCACATCAGCTGAAGAGCAGGGAGTCCACACCTGCTTTCTGCAGCTACTTTCTAACTGCCCTACCCTTGGCATATGGCACTAGGTGTGAGCAGGTGCGCATAGTGTGGAGAAACTGGATTAGTAGATTTGGAAAAGACAAAGCAATTCTTCACAAAGGGCATAGCTAAACTCTGGGATTTGGCCCCGCAAGGTGTAGTGCTGCCTGCCTGCTTGGCCTGCTTTAAATGGGGTTTAGACTAGGCCTAAACCTAGCTAAGTTTATCTAGCAATACAACTCTGTGGTCCTTTATGTTAAATAGTGGGTAGACATAGCAGACAATGCAGCAATTTCTCCAAAGCAGCTCTTGTTTATTCACAGGCCAGAACAGAACCGAACAGCAAACAGCTCAGCCGGCCTGCTCTTATAGGCAGCCGGCTGTCAACATTGTAGCAACTACAACCCAGGGTTTCCCGCCTAAAGTAACTGACGTGGACCTGAGTGAAAACTATCTACACGATACTCCTGGTGGCCAGGGTGAGAACTTCAATACATAACACTTTACCCCTTTATGCACCAACTCGCAGTCATGCATAGTTCTGTTTGAATGCAATCTCCCACAATTTGAATCTCTTGTGTTGTGGTTTGTCCTGCAGATCTTAGAGACAAGAAATGGCTTGTAAGTGGTTTAGAGGAAGTTTCATTCCTTTTCTTCCCTTCTTGCTGGTAGTGGCCAAACAGGTTTTGCTTTTGCATGGTTTTGAAACAACACAAAAACCTGCACAACCAATTTGGATATAAACAAAAGTGAGATGAGGGCTTATACCAGTGGTAGGCAACCTAAGGCCCGTGGGCCGGATGCGGCCCAATCGCCTTCTCAATCCGGCCCACTGACGGTCCGAGAATCAGCGTGTTTTTACATGAGTAGAATGTGTCCTTTTGTTTAAAATTCATCTCTGGGTTATTTGTGGGGCATAGGAATTCGTTCATATATTTTTTTCAAAATATAGTCCAACCCACACATGGTCTGAGGGACGGTGGACCGCCCCCTGCTGAAAAAGGTTGCTGACCCCTGGCTTACACCATAAGCAGCAAATCTCATTTTCAAGTTACCTTCAATTCTAGATATAAAAAAAGCCTCCAGGGCCTTATCTTCCTTCCTTGAAGTGGAGCACCAACTGCCACATTATTTGTATGATAGCTAATATGGCCAACTGTCTACTGCAGGTGTGGGAAACCTTTTGTCCTCCAGATGTAGCTGAACTACAATTCCCATCTTGGCTCTGCTTCCCAGGGATGATTCAAGTTATAGTTCAGCAACATCTGGAGAGCCAAAGGTTTCCCACAGCTGACCTGCTGAATGGCAGTGAGCCTATTATTTTCCCTCTGTGCCATCTGAAACCATCTGAAAATCCATATTCTTCTAATTAATGCAGGGTATGACTAAAGAGCAGGGATACATTCAATTCAATCTACATTTAAAGATCAACCTACATAATTCACAGTTCCTGACAAAATATGGAAGCTGCAAATGCAGCCATCTTTTGAAATTTGCCCTTCTTCGAATTCTCCAACCAAGCAATGTGCTTTCTATGGGGAAATTGCTTGCAAAAATGTGTATAATAGAAGAAATCACACCCAAATGCCGATGAGTTTCATGAGGACTTTTTAATAAAGGAATTTACAAACTGATGTGTTATGCATTGTATATGCATTATAATGTGTTTGAACCAAACATACTCAAATCTGGAAAACTGCAAAAACCCAAGGAAAGCTGCTTTTCCATCCACATATTAGTCTGGAAGAAGTAGATCAGTTCAGTTCCCATGGGAATTAGCAAAGAACAAGTTTCTAAAGCATCCCAACCAGCCTAGTTGGGCCACTCTGCAAGGACATAATTGATACTGCTTTGGTCATTGGCCCCGAGACTTTGGGGGCTGCTCCGCACAAAGCTGCCTCACTCCGCTCAGCTCCTACTGCCCTTCTTCCTTCTCATCCCCAAATCCAGCTCACTGGGAAGACTCTGCAGCCTGCAGGCTGTCTCTGCCCTCTCCTCACAACACCCTTTCCCCGGTAGAATAAGGCAGCAGCTGCCAAGAAGATGAAGATCACAGGACAATGGAACTCTTTCCCCCCTCCTCCCCAGTCCTGACCTTATGGTGCCCAGGGAGGGGTTCTGCTAAAAGGGTCTTTTCAATCCCTTAATTTGGAATTTAAAAACCAGAAGCTGACAAATAGAGGTTCCTTTTGGAAGTGGGGGTGTGCATGACAAAGGTCTCTCCATCACCCCAAGATCAGAATGACAAAAGACACTCTCAGTTTACTGCTTCCTCCTCAGAAAGGCCAGGGTGCAGACAGGGCCCCTCTTTAAACAGCAGGGGGGGCTTGTTTGCGCTGAAGCAGTCTGCACACCCAGAGTGCCCTGTTTGCTGGATCCAGTGCCCAGGGGGCTTCCAAATGCATTTTGAAAGCAAAGTGGGCAGGAAACCTCCAGCCCCCCAGGTGCTGTTGGGCACCCAAGGAGGGATGAAGGAGGAAGCTGATTTTCTTTGCATTTTAATGAGAAATCACATAGTTAACATTTCTCAAAGTAATATGTAAAGCCAAACATGGGGGGAGGGCATATTGCCTACTGCCGCAACATGTCCTGAGTTGCCCACTCTTTAGGGAGACTCTAGAGAATTTTTTTCAAAATGGTCTACCCCACTAACTTCTACTCTCAGTAGACCCATTGAAATGGACCTAAATTAGTCACGTCCATTAATTTCAATGAGTCTACTCCGAATATGACTAGCAATAGATACAATGCTCCGTCTACGAGTGGATGCGCTAAGGCAAGTACATTTGTTTCCTACTCGTTTTGCACATGGCCAGGAAGCTAATGTGGAACAGATGGGTACACAAAGCCAACACCACACTGCTGGGGGCACCAAAGCTGAGCCCCTGTCCCATGAAGCAGTGCAATTTATTTTTCCTTTAGCTGCCACCACACAGCCCTAACACAATTGACCTGTGTCTCTACAGGGACATTTCAGCACTGGGTGAGCAGCAGTGCTGGTTTTAAGGAGGAGCTAAGCTCAGCCTTCTTTATGTGAGAGCTGGACCATAAAGAAGGCTGATCGCCAAAGAATTGATGCTTTTGAATTATGATGCTAGAGGAGATTTTTGAGAGTCCCATGGACTGCAAGAAGATCAAACCTATTTATTCTTAAGGAAATCAGCCCTGAGTGCTTACTGGAAGGACAGATCTTGAAGCTGAGGCTCCAATACTTTGGCCACCTCATGAGAAGAGAAGACTCCCTGGAAAAGACCCTGATGTTGGGAAAGGTTGAGGGCACATGGAGAAGGGGACGACAGAGGACAGGATGGCTGGACAGTGTTCTTGAAGCTACCAGCATGAGTTTGACCAAACTGCGGGAGGCAGTGGAGGACAGAAGTGCCTGGCGTGCTCTGGTCCATGGGGTCATGAAGAGTCGGACACGACTAAACAACTAAACAACAACAACAAGCTCTGCTTCCCTCCGCAGCCGCCACCCGCAATCTTGATTTATCCAAAGTGCAATCTCCCTGCCTATAGTTTGATAGAGCTATAGGCTGTGGGAATTGCACTTTGGCTATATAAAGGCAACATGCAACCACTACAACTGGGATCTGAGCTTGGCTCCCCTTCAAAAGCAGCTCTGCCATGTCCCCATGGCTAGCGGAGCGGCCTGCAGGCCCCCGAGAACCCTTCTCGGCCCCCGAGAATGTCAGCCTGTGCCCAACCTGGCCTACCACTGATGCTGGTCACCAAAAGAACAAAAACATATTCTTTTGGCCCAGCAATGCCAGTAAAACCCAATAAGATTTTGGTTTCTTAAAATCAGAGCTCAACAAGGTACTTCCTTGGCACAGGTGGCACAGGGCAGCTTTCACCAGCCTGGTGCTGTCAAAATGTTTTTGACTACAGCTTACTCTCCAACATTTCTCTGAGGAAAATAGGGACATTCTATTCCATAATCATCATAAAAATAATTTTATTATTTATATCCCACCTATCTGACTGGGTTGCCCCAGCCACTCTAGGCTTCCAACATATAAAAAATAATAATAAAACATTAAACATTAAAAAGTTTCCATATAGAGGGCTGCCTTCAGATGTCTTCTATAGGTTGTACTATCTCCTTGGCTCGGGGGGTCACATAACTTCATACCCTCCAGCGTTTCTCTGATGAAATTAGGGATGTCCTAAGGAAAAGGGGAACATTCTGGGATCAGTTCAGAAACTGGGATAGCTTCTGTAAATCCGGGAGTATCCCTGGAAAAGAGGGACCCTTGGAGGGTCTGTGAGCCTGTGGCCTTGGCTGCTGGAGAGCTTTCCAGCGGTTGGGGAGGTGCTGATCTGGATGCTGGGCAGTGACTTGGTCGTACCGTTGCCTCCCCTTATCAAAGTGGCCCCTGCCATGAACATCTGCCCCAGAGTGACTGGAGCAACCCAGTCAGATGATGGGGATGGAATAGGAGGTCCCTATTTTCATCAGAGAAATGTTGGAGGGCATGGACTCATGCCATTCCTGTGGCCCCTTTTTATCAGTCCTACCAAGGTGCCTCCCCACGGTCCACAGCAGGGTCTACAGCAGCCTCAGCTCCAAAGCACAACAGCACCAGACTGTAACGGGGGGAACCCAAAAGGCAAGGCAAGGCAAGGCAAGGCCATCAACTTTAAGGAGCAAGAATAAGGTGGATGTGCATGTAGGCACTCAACCCACCTGATAGTCCTATTGCCTCCTGGGTGGTAGTGGAATCTGACAATATTTCTGGACAAGGAATCCAGAGAAGCTGTCTGTGGTGATACCTTTCTCGTTCTCGTTTAGGAGAACACAAGGTCGCTTCCAGGTCTGAGCAGCCCCTTGGCAGGGCACCTTCTGGCAGGCTTCCTTGGGGGTCAGTGGGCCCCAGCTGTGTGCTCGCCAGGTGGTGGAGACTGTAGGTGGGCATTTAATTGTCCTCCCTGAAGCATTGTGAGAAATGAGAATGGCGGACCTGAGTGGAGGTGGTCATTTTAATTCCCTGCAATGCCCTACAGTTACAGGACACTGGGTCACTGTTTGAAGTTTCAAGGGCTGCCTGTGGGCTTGGGCCAGGGAGCCCTGCCAGGGAGCCCTGCCAGCTGCCCAGAAGTGCCTGGTGCTGTATCTGGACCTGGTAGAACAGGGCTGACCACAGCCTCCCAGGAGATCCGGGCACAATGCTGTTGTAGCCTCTCGGTTGGATTCCTGCAGTATGTTCCAGACAGGTCTGCCTGGCAAGGAGTGGAGGCTGGGAGAGGGGGAAAGGCAAGCATTCAGAGTGAAAGCAAGCAATTTGAAGAGAGAACAGGAATCAGCTTGGCCAGGCAGGAGGTGAGTTGCCTGCTCCCCCTGGAATTGCTAGCCTGCAATTGTCACATCCCAAGGAGGTCATTAAGTAGCATCACATGATGGTTTATTGTCTGCAGACAACAATCAGACCAGACAGTTACACGGTGGTGTTTGCAGCCAGACCAACACTTAATGCTCTTCTCCCAGTCTGAAGTGCCTGCGAGGGAAGCCACTTATTACACTGCTGTTTGCCTTTCTTGCAGCAGCCTTAAATGTTCATTATCCCTCTTTGGACCTTTCAAAATAGCATCCATTGTCTGAGCAGGGGGTTGATTGAGCACTCCAGCCTGCACTTGGAAGTAGCCCACTGCTGCCAACCAGGCCCACGTGGTCCAGCCGACAGGTGTGGCCACACAAAACTCCTTGTACGTGGCACAAATGTGGCGTGGCACTTGGAAAAGTGCAAGTTTTGCAGACTGAAGTGGTTGTATACACATGCACAGGGCAAGGCGATCCCTTTAATGAATGGGTCCCAAGTCTTTAGATCACATATATATTGAGCTTGCCTTCTGGTTTCCACCCTGGCTCTCACAGTTGCACTTATACATTTTGCTGCCTGTGGTCAAGGACAAGATGGCAGCCCCCAGTTCCAGAAACAAACTGACTGGTTTGGCACCTGCATCTTATTTCAACCTCTGGGAGCAGCAGGCTGCCTTAGGGGGTGCGGTGTCAGTTGTCAGTCCTGCAACAGAGGACTGCTGCCTGAAGTACCTGCCTCACTCTGCCTCACGGGAGCTACTGTTTTCGAAGCTATGCATTTTTTGTTTTCATTTTGTAAACCGCCAAGTGATCATTGGATGAAAGGCATACAGAAATTTAATCACTGCTAATAATAAGCTTGGGACGCGGGTGGCACTGTGGGTTAAACCACAGAGCCTAGGACTTGCCGATCCGAAGGTCGAGGGTTCGATTTCCCCGCGATGGGGTGTGCTCCCGTTGTTCGGTCCCTGCTCCTGCCAACCTAGGAGTTCGAAAGCACGTCAAAGTGCAAGTAGATAAATAGGTACCACTCCAGCGGGAAGGTAAACGGCATTTCCGTGCGCTGCTCTGGTTTGCCAGAAGCGGCTTTGTGCTGGTCCCGGGGGTGTTACCGTGCGGCGTGGTCTGAGTCCGGTCCTGGGTCGAGGGTCTGGAGGCAGTCTGTCAAGGGCAAAGCGGGGTCCAAGGCAAGGAGCCGGGCATGGACAGGAACTCCAGAAGAGCAGGTCAGGGTGTTGGCAGGAACAGGTTTCCAGCGATGTTGCTCCCGCAACCTGGGACTGGGCTGACTGGCCTTTATCTCCTCTGAGGCCTAGGGCGGCCCTGGCCCACAGGTGACTCGCCTCTCCTGGCCTTAAGGCGAGCACTCCTCCTGAGAGAACTTAGTTCCCTCCGCCTCTCTGCCCTGAGCCTCTGCAGCTCAGGAGAGGCTGGAGGGTTACTGGACCCAGGGGCAGCTTCACCTTCCCCTGACAGGGCTGGGAGAGGAGCACCTGCAGGCAATGGGTCCTCAATCACCTCTGGAGCCAGAGTGGATTCATCTGGTGTCTGCTCCTGAGGATCCGGAACAGGTGCGGGCCCTTCAGGCTCAAGCCCCAGCCCCGGCTCAGCCAGCCCTGGAGGCGGGGACTCCTGTGCAGGCTGGAATTCCTCCGGTTCAGCCTCTGAATCAGATTCCCAGGCCATCACAGGCTTAGTCATGCTGGCCACATGACCAGCTGTACGCCGGCTCCCTCGGCCAATAAAGCGAGATGAGCGCCGCAACCCCAGAGTCGGCCACGACTGGACCTAATGCTCAGGGGTCCCTTTACCTTTTTAATAATAAGCCTAGAGCTGGCCCTGCTGGCTCCAGACAGTGACAGACTTTGGGCCCCCAGATTTCAGCATAGCCCCGTGTAAGGCTAAAACTCTGCGCCCCCGTGTCTTGCGCTTCATTTGACACCATTGTCATGGCGCCTCCTGCAGCATGGCACCCAGGGCGGCTGAACCAGTCTCACTACCTTAAAACCCCCTCTGCTCCAGCCTCCCTTCACATCACTGCTCATAGCCTAGCCGGAACAGATCTGCAACCAGCTCAGCGATGCCTGGATACCTTTGAAGCAATTATCCAGATCTTTCTGATCTGTAAAAGCAGGTGGGCAGCATCCAAAGTTGCCCCCTAGGCTCCAATTCAGTCATTCCTGCAATCCATTGCCTCAGTCCCCTCCCTCCCTCCCTCCCTCTCCAAGCCCCATCCATGCTGAGCACAGGAGGAGTCTCTTTAATTTGCTCTGAGGTTAGCAGTGAATGCCGGGATACGTGCTCTGTGGCTTGCATCCCGGCAGATAATTATTCAGTGCAGCGTACTTTCTGCTTGAGAGGAGCCTGACTTCTGGCCTCTCATTGATTTGCAGAAGGAAATTAATTATGACAAGGATCAGCTTGGATGCCTTAGTGTCATGCACTCCCTTCCTTCACTCTCACTGTTAGCTCCACCTTGCACAATGCTTGTCAGGACAGACCAAGGAAGCTCTGCCTTTTCCCATCGAGTGAAGTCTTCTTTTCATGACTAGGAGTGGCAAGAGTTGTGGAGCATCACTGCAAAGCTTAGAGCAGATGGGCACCACCTAACGCTAAGAGATTTTAAAGATTCAAAAATATTAGATTAAATACTGACTAAAGGTCAGTATCCTGTGAACATACAAACTCCTTATTTGTTTTCACTGGAAATTCTGGTATGCACAGTGTGGCTTGCAAATTTGGCTAAAGAGCAGACTTTACCTGTTTCAATCACACACAGTAGAGGAAGAAAATAAAGTTATATATTTTGGGAAGTACATACCTTGGGTAGAACAGTTTGTGGTTTTGAGCTAGAGAAGACAAAGGCAGCCATGCTTGATCTATGTTCTCAGATCATCCAAGATGGCCTCTTATCTTGAGGTCCAAGAGAGAAGTGTGAGGAGGATGTAAACAGGATGCAACCTAAGATGTCTCCATCTAAACTTTAGAGGATAGGGAAGTCAGCACATGGCAAAGGTGCAGCAATAGTCTGGCAATTGTAGGGGACTCTGAGGCTTCAGCCACAAGGCTGGGAATGTGACCTCAGTGTATGCTTCGGCCCCAGGAAGGATTCTAGGTACGCAGCCTCAAGCTCCTGTGATTGGCAGGCAGCAGGCCTGCATTGGCCAAGCCTATGTAAAAACAGAGCAGTATATAAATATCAAATAATAATAATAATAATAATAATAATAATAATAATAATAATAAATAATACAGGGAGGCAAATCCCCATAACAGGGTGAGCTCCCATTGCTCTGCCCCAGTTCCTGCCAACCTAGCAGTTCGAAAGCACGCCAGTGCAAGTAGATAAATAGGTACCGCTGTGGCAGGAAGGTAAATGGCGTTTCCATGTGCTCTGGCTTCCATCACGGTGTTCCATTGCACCAGAAGCGGTTTAGTCATGCTGGCCACATAACCCGGAAAGCTGTTTGTGGACTTCTCCCTCGGTCTGAAAGTGAGATGAACACTGCAACCCTATAGTTGCCTTTGACTGGACTTCACCATCCAGGGGTCCTATTATTATTATGTTGTTGTTGTTGTTGTTGTTGTTGTTGTTGTTGTTGTTGTTGCTGTTGCTGCTGCTGCTGCTGCTGCTAAAAATACTGTTTCCTCTGCTTGGACACTGGGGAGGGATCTACTACTAGAGATCTTTATGACTGGCTAAGCAGAGAAGATGGACAGAAGCCTCCCAGTTATGTGAAATGCACTGATATCACTGGGTGACAGGATAAAGACTGGACAGTGCAGGTTTCGGAGGTTTGGGGAGCTTAACAATCTCAGCCGCGCTGCACCCCACTTTGCCCATGAGAGGAGCCTCCCCTGCTTTTGCTGAGTTCTGGCATGCAGACAGTGGAAGCCCCGCAAGCACTTCCCTGCTGCTGTAAATATTCCATTGCACGATAATCTGATAATAGCCTTTTCTGCACAATGTCATTTTGGAGTTCAACTGGCTGTTCCTTTCATCAGGAGAAGGACTGTAATTATGTGTCTTTTGCTCCCGGGCTGTGATTTCTCTCCTACTGGCGGGAGATTGGGATCCTCCCTCCTTCATGCTTTCTTTCTAACCACCCTCAGATATTTATAGTGAAAAAACCACAGCTGAGCAATGAAAACAACTGGAGGACGGCCTTTCCTCTTGAAGGTTAAGATGACAGCAAGACAACAACACACAGAAAAGAACTCTGGAGACAGGATGGGGCCCTTGGGGGGATTTCCATTTGGCCTCCTCACATTATCTCAGAGCTATATCCCATGGACACGAGCGGTGATGGAGAGCAGCCCGTCAGGATTAGAGAAGGGGATAAATTTGATTCAGTTCTCATCAAAAGGCAAATCTACCTAATTCACACTTTCCAAAACAATATGGGAACTGAAGTGCAGTTCTCTGAATTTTGCAATGCAGTTCTCCAACCAAATGATGTGTGAAAAGATGCATTACTGGGGCAAAAAGTTCATATACTACGGAAAATAACATACAGAAATGCATTATATTAGAAGAAATCAATGTACCGAGAACTGAGCATCAGAAAGTTTGAGAAAAATGAGAAACAAAGAGAAGCAAAACTGAGAGCAGCTTGACAAATTTGCCCATCCCGAGTCAGCGACTAACTTCTCTCTCTCTCTCTCTCTCCAGACAGGGCCTCTCCAGGCGCGACCTGTTGCCTGAAAAGCAGAAATTTGGCAGGAAACCTTTCCTTGGAACATACTGGCGAAAGCTTTAACTGTGGGATTTCTGCTTGACAGACATGTTACAGGCAAAGGAGCTGAGCGGTAAAAACAGTCATAGTGAAGGCTGAACAAAATGGAAGGCAATTGGCGCCAGGGCTTCATGGGAAATGGGCAAAAAAATGCACAGGGAGGGAGGGGTCTTTTGCAGGCGGAGCTCATGGCAGGGATGAACAAATCTGTCCATTTTGCTTTTTCTCAGTTCCTCATTCTTTCTCGGTCTCCACATTTCTGCAGCAACTTGCATTTGAAAGGAAAAAACAAACGAACAAACACTTCTGAAAATTCACCTGCCTTTTATTGCATTTTTCTCCAAATAATGACATTTTTGTCTGCAGTGGTTTTTTTTTTTGCTTTATTTGTGCTTATGCACCAACAAAATACAAAAAAGAAGGTATTTACGTCATTTGTTACAAATTACACCATTAACCAAAAAAGATAAATCTATATAAAAAGGTAAAGGGACCCCTGACCATTAGGTCCAGTCGTGACTGACTCTGGGGTTGCAGCGCTCATCTCGCTTTATTGGCCAAGGGAGCCGGCGTACAGCTTCCGGGTCATGTGGCCAGCATGACTAAGCCGCTTCTGGCGAACCAGAGCAGCGCACGGAAACGCCGTTTACCTTCCCGCCGGAGCGGTACCTATTTATCTACTATTTATCTACTTGCACTTTGACGTGCTTTCGAACTGCTAGGTTGGCAGGAGCAGGGACCGGGGGGATTCGAACCGCTGACCTTCTGACCGACAAGTCCTAGGCTCTGTGGTTTAACCCACAGCGCCACCCATGTCCCTAAATGGTCAGACCTCACCTGGAGTACTGTGTCCAGTTCTGGGCACCACAGTTCAAGAAGGACACTGACAAACTGGAACGTGTCCAGAGGAGGGCAACCAAAATGGTCAAAGGCCTGGAAACGATGCCTTATGAGGAACGGCTAAGGGAGCTGGGCAAGTTTAGCCTGGAGAAGAGGAGGTTAAGGGGTGATATGATAGCCATGTTCAAATATATAAAAGGATGTCACATAGAGGAGGGAGAAAGGTTGTTTTCTGTTGCTCCAGAGAATTGGACACGGAGCAATGGATCCAAACTACAAGAAAGAAGATTCCACCTAAACATTAGGAAGAACTTCCTGACAGTAAGAGCTGTTCGACAGTGGAATTTGCTGCCAAGGAGTGTGGCGGAGTCTCCTTCTTTGGAGGTCTTTAAGCAGAGGCTTGACAACCATATGTCAGGAGTGCTCTGATGGTGTTTCCTGCTTGGCAGGGGGTTGGACTCGATGGCCCTTGTGGTCTCTTCCAACTCTATGATTCTATGATTCTATATAATTGACAATAAATCTTCTTGTAATTCATTGGCTTCATGTCTTCTCCATACTTCTTTTCTAGTTTACTAGCTTTTTGCATAAACCTATCTATTCATTTTACAGTAAAATATCATGTCTCCTGTATCTTTATTTCTTACTTGGTACAACTACAGAAGTTATACAAAAGGAGCAACCGAGTTTAGACTTCCACACTTGTTTTTAAGATATGTTTTAAGAGGTTCCCATTTTGTAATAAATACTTGTTTGGACTTATCTTTCATTCCTTCAGTTAACTTGGCGAATTCTGCATATTCGACTAGTTTCTGTAGCCATTCTCACCTCGAAGGGGTTTTATCACTTTTCCAATTACTCACAATTAAAATTCTTGCGGCAACAGTAGCATACAGTGGTACCTCTGGTTGCAAACGGGATCCGTTCCGGAGCCCCGTTCGCAACCTGAAAGGAACGCGAGCGGTGAAACCCGGAAGTAACCCTTTCCGGTACTTTCGGGTCGCCACATATTATGAAGGTGGGTAACGGAAAGCAACCAAACAACAGTACAGGGACAATGAAGATACTACTAAAAGTAGCCTTTCCCCTGATTTTCCCCTCTGGTACTCTCATACCACAGGGTCCAGGGATAGGCAACAGTGGTATGCTGTTCCAGTGATGAGTGAATCTGTCTGTTTCGGTTTCTCTACGTTTCTAATTTTTCCACTTTTCTGATATTCACATTTCCACATCAGTTTCCTCCCCCCCCCCACCTAAAAAAAAGGCATCATGAAAATTCACCAACATTTGAGTGCAAATTTCTCCTAATATACACAGTTGTAGGCATTTTTGTCTAATAGGCACATGTTTTTCAAGCAATATCCCGTATACATTGCATTTTTGTAAAGTTATTTTCAGTTAGATGTGGATTTTTATGATAGCATGTATTGTTTCAGGAAACATGAATTAGTATATTTGCTTTTAAATGCAAAGTGTACTGAATTTATTCCCCCAGCCACAACAGCCTTTTAAACGAAAAACAACAATGTGTGTGTGTGTGGGGGGGGAGTACTCAGAGTGATACTAATGATTTGGCTCTTTTAGAAAATGATGACATGGAATTAGGATAATCTGCATCACAATTTTTTGTTTGTATTGGAAAATTTTCTGATGCCCCAGAAAATGATTGAATTTAGCATTTTGTTCTACTTGTATTTAGTAAACAAAGCAAAACACTTTAAAACTGGCAACTTGCCTAATATTTTATCTGCAGTTGGCACCCATTCATTGTTGCTAATGAACTAATGAAAATTATATAGAAAAACAAAACACTGGAGAATTCTTGGCCATTGAGTGATGCAGAGAGATTTTGCCTTAGCCAGATTTATTTTATTGCCTCTGGGGGAATAGCTGGGTTTTGTGAGGAGAGGAGGGGTGTCTCTGTGTGTAAAAGCCAGAAATATTGACCAATTGCCAATATAATAATAATAATAATAATAATTATTATTATTATTATTATTATTTATTATTTATACCCCGCTCATCTGGCTGGGCTTCCCCAGCCACTCTGGGAGGCTTCCAAAAAAATATTAAAATACTGTAATACATCAAATATTAAAAGCTTCCCTAAACAGGGCTGCCTTCAGATGTCTTCTAAAAGTCTGGTAGTTGTTGTTCTCTTTGACATCTGGTGGGAGGGCGTTCCACAGGGAGGGTGTCACTACCGAGAAGGCCCACTGCCTGGTTCCCTGTAACTTGGCTTCTCGCAGTGAGGGAACCGCCAGAAGGCCCTCGGCGCTGGATCTCAGTGTCCGGGTAGAACGATGGGGGCGGAGACGCTCCTTCAGATATACTGGTCTGTTTTGACTCAAAAGTCTGTTTTGACTCAAAGCTGTCATTTTTACAGTGGTGCCCCGCAAGACGAATGCCTCGCAAGACGGAAAACCCGCTAAACGAAAGGGTTTTCCGTTTTCAATGCGCTTCGCAGGACGAATTTCCCTATGGGCTTGCTTCACAAGACGAAAATGTCTTGCGAGTCTTGAGATTTTTTTTCGCTTCCCCCCCCTTTTTCTAAGCCGCTAAGCCTTTAATAGCCTTTTAGCAGCTAATCTGACATTTTTTCAGACGAATGGAAGAGCAGCATAAACTCTGCAGGTGAAGATGCCCTTAGCTGCCCTCACTGCAGCTCTGTCATGTCCCCCAGCGTGGATGGAACATAATGGGAGGCCCACATAGTAAAAAAGCACAGTGCTGCTGAATAATGGGGAAGGTCACTTATTAACAGGTAATGGAGATGATTCTGCAATACTGTACTCTTGCTCTGCAAACACAAAACCTTTCCTTGGGGCTGTGTACATCTTGTGCTCTGGAGTGCCATAGTGTAAGGATTTTATCAAAAGCAACAGCGCAATCCTAACTAAGGGCTTGCAGGTATGGAGCGGCCAATTCTCCACTGCATGGGAAGCTCTGGCAGCTCCTGTTGGCCAGAGCAAAAGACCAGGGCTGGACCAAGACATTTGGCACCTGAGGTGAACTACAAAATGGCCTCCCCCATGCCAGGGAGTGAAGAGCTCCATCAGGAACAAGGGAGGATCTACACTGGGAACAAGGGAGTGAAATCCAATCAGCCTTACCCAGTGGTTGACTCAAAGGCTCTCATGAGGGGTGGGGAAGGGGTGCAGAGCCCAGGAGACCCCAGAGGGCAGCCAGAGGCAAAGCAACCTGCTCTGGTACCCGGAGCGGTGCTTACCCCGGGGGCGTGGCATGAGTGACGCGCCCCCCAGGGGTTCCGCCGATCGGGGGTCGGCATCTTGTCCCCCTCCCTTTGGAATGGCACCTGGGGTGGACTCGCCGCCCCCGCCCCCCTTGGAACGCACCTGAGGGCAGCCCTTGCCATTTCCTCCCTTGGGACGAGAGGAGACCAGCAGCACCTCCTATTTTCCAAGATGCCACTGTAGAGGCAGCATTGGAGGGGGTTGCTGAGGAGGTGCCAGATCTGGTCTCTAAGGAGTATGCTGTAGCCATTGCTGTGTCAGGGAGCCAGCAAGGAGAGCAGGTCATTCGCAGATCAGAGAGAGAGTGAAACACTTGGCTAACTTACATTTACGGTAGTTTCTTTACTAAGGAAGCAGAGCAAAGAACACCCAGAGACTTCTAATGGTTGCTCCTGTCTAGATGAAGCCATAGTCCAGACTGGCTTGTAGCTCCCCTTTCACTCCCTCGTCCTCTGTGTATAGTGAGCCCCAAGGGAGCCTCTCTGAGTCTGCCTGGCTCAGCAACATGCCATGAACACCTTGCTCTGGGGTGGGTGGAGGGTTTTCAGGCTGTCAGCAGAGAAGCTGTCAGGGTGGCTCTGGAGGAGCTGCCATGTCTAATTCCTGTCCCTGCCCTGTGCTGGGGCACCTTGCCTGTTAGCGCCTCTTCATCATCTCCAAGCTCCCAGTCTCCAGCACTTCCCAGCTCTTCCCCTCCTCTGGGGTGTGGCCAGTTTCCCAGCACCAGAAGCCAGGATCCCAATCCTCTCCCGCTGTGCTTTCCCTGGAGGCTCTTGGTCAGGTGGCTCCCACCACTCCTCCTCATCCAGCCAGCCACTGCGGAAGCACTCCTTGGCAGCCAGATCTGCTGCCCTTGTGGATCCTGCCATTCAAGGGAGCCTCCTCACCTTCCTCACAGGTAAGGGTGCCAGCTCCTGGGGGCTAGGCACTTTTGCACCCCCTATATTTTGAGGGGAGGGGCTGCCCCCTATGTTCAAAAAGCGTAGAGGTGAAGTGCAGAGCCCAGTGCTGTTGCAGTGATGGGCTCCTCCTCAGGGGCGTACGAAGGGGTGTGTGGTGGGGGCAGTCCACCCCAGGTGCCATCCCAGGGGTGTGTGTGACAAAATACCCCCGGGCAGATCGTGCCACCGCCCCCAGGAGGATCGCGCCACCGCCCCCTAAACGGACCCCCGGGAGGCTCGCCATGCCACGATAGGAACTCCCCCCCAGGATCGTGGCACCATGCTGATCGCGCCACACCTTGAGCGGTTCACCCCCCTCCGCTGCTCCGGGTGCAGGAGCGGCTAGCTCTGCCACTGCTCTTGCTCCTCCTCCTGCCATGGAGGGGAAGGAGGGTCAAATTAGCCTCCTGCCAGGGGAGGAGCCACTGGCCATAGAAGCCGTGTGGCTGCCACAGTTGGCTCCACCCACAGCTCCTCCCAATGTCCTGATGGCACCTCACAAGCTGGCACCTCTGCTCCCGAGTCAGTTGGCTCTGCAAAAGATGATGGGTGTGTTCTCATTTGGGTCTTCTTTGTTGCTGTTGTTGCTCCAGGTCTAGCCAGAGGGGCCTGGCTGGAGCCCCTCGTCCAACGCAGGGCCGGCCTAGGTTCCAGCAGATGCCTGAGTGCCCAGCTTTGTTTTGGACCCCTGCCATGCTTTCGGGAGCCGCAGCACCCCCAGCACGCCAGGGGACACCCTAAGAACTAGAAATGGTATTTTTTAAATGGTAGGTAGGTTAGTTTCAGCTTCTAAGAAAGCCTAATTTTGCAGTCACTATCACATTTCACATTTTTTCTGCCTGCCCATCCAATCATGGCATACAGACGAATCTGCCCATCCCGGAGGTGCACTCCATTGTCTCTCAAGACAGACACATGTCAACAACAACAACCCCTTCCACAGAAAATCCCATGTTAAAAAAACATGTAGCCAACAACCCGTTGGAGATATATGAGCAACCTGCTTGCATTACTGAGCACACCCTAAGTTCAGGCACACCCTAAGTTCTTATGACAAAAAGCTACAGGTCACTGGAGGTCACACACTCCCTAGCCAGGAAATGGCATCTTCCCAGCACCATCCATTTTGCCCTCTGAGGGATGTGAAAATGCTGTTTACTGGCCCCAGAAACCCTACCTTGAGGAAAGGCCTTTGGATTCTCTGCAACAACGGAGCCAACAGCTGTGCTGCTTTGAAGACGGATGTCTGGATCCTCCACAACAACTGAGCAACAGCTGCACATTTTTTGGTGCTAAAAATGATTGTATGGAAGATGCCAGTGAGGGAAGGACTTGACGGGTAAATTGTCTTATGTCTATCTATCTTAAAAGGTAAAGGTACCCCTGACCATTAGGTCCAGTTGCAGAAGACTCTGCGGTTGCGGCGCTCATCTCGCTCTATAGGTCAAGGGAGCCGAGGTTTGTCCTCAGACAGCTTCCGGGTCATGTGGCCAGCATGACTAAGCCACTTCTGGCGAACCAGAGCAGCACACGGAAATGCTGTTTACCTTCCTATTTATCTACTTGCACTTTGACGCGCTTTTGAACTGCTAGGTTGGCAGGAGCTGGGACCAAACAATGGGAGCTCACCCTGTCGCGGGGATTCGAACCAAGAACCTTCTGATCAGCAAGCCCTAGGCTCTGTGGTTTAACCCACAG